CGTACAACCTTCTCCTGGATCTAATCCGATTGTGGATAGTTTCAGTGATGCTAGATCCTTACGGAAATCCTATAATGTTCCTTCGGGAGAAGAGGACAGCCGTGCACCCGTATCCTCAGAGAGCGATGATGTTCACCGGATACTACAGACCCGTTCGTCGTTCGAATCACGGTGGCCAGGCGACCGGTGTTTTCGCGCAAGGGAACGCGGTGAGCGGTGAGGCGTTCTTCGCTGGCATGCAGCCACCGCATTTGAACAACGGGCCGGAACCGATCGAGGAATCGGAAGTGTCAAGCGCGGAGGCGCAAGCCGCTCCAGAGGTGGACGAGGGCTACAACGAGGACGAGCAACATCAGGTGCAACGGGAGGAAGATTATCAGCGCAACGAGCATCCTCAACAGGACGAACGTCGTCCTCAGGATGAAGCGAATCATCCTCAGGGCGATGACCGACATCACGAGGAGGACGAGCAGCATCAACATAAGCAACAAAGTGTTCCTCAGGTACTGTCGAACGATTTTTCGAAATATCTTTTTTCAAATATTCCCTGAAACGATCGAACATTCAAATGCACAAAAGTTCGAAAGAGAAAATAAATAAATAATTACACAATTACACAGGAAATGCAGATAAATTGTTCCTCAGGTATTGCGAAACGATTCATCTGTTCAAAATATTTTTTTTCAAACATTCCCTAAAATGATCGAATATTCAGATACACAAAAGAGAAAATAAATAAATAATTACACAATTACACAGGAAAATGCAGATAAATTCTTCCTCAGGTATTGTGGAAGGATTTTTCCGTTCAAAATATTCTTTTCAAATATTCCCTGAAACGATCGAACATCGTTGATTCGAAAGAGAAAATTCCCAATAAACAGTTACACACGATTACCCAGGAGCAACCGGAACCGGAACCCGCCCCCGCCGTGTTCACCACCGAGGCAGCCGCGGTGACTCCAGCCGCGGAGCCAGTGATCACAGAAGCGTCCCAACCGAGTCGTCCCAAGCAGCACGGGAAAAAGACGAAGAAGACACCGGTGGTCGTGGTGGACGACGACGAGGAGGACGACGAGGACGAGGACGACGACGACGTGCCGTCCGTTCCCTTCATCCCTTTCAAGGGGAGTCGCCGTCGGCAAAACTACCCGAACCTGAACAACTTCTTCCCCATGGTGTTCAGCTTCCCCGGCGGGTCTAGCCGATCTGGATCCACCGGAGGATCCCCCCCCGGAGCCGTGACAGCGATCGCCAACAGTTACTCGACCGGGAAGGGCGGCGTTGCGAGCTCGGTCGCCACTGCTTACGGCGGATCCCCTAACGGGTAAGATTTTAAACATACGATATTTTTCGAGAAAAAGAGAGACAAGGATTTATTAGGAAAAAATAAAAAAAAGAAAGAAATACGCGTGACAGAAAGAGAAATACTTTGGTATTCGAAAGTGAGAATAGTTATCTCGCGATTCATCCACAACGACAACAATTTTTCCAACAGGAAAAAGCGGCGTACACCGGTGGCCGAAGAGTAGATCATCGAGTGGGGTCGATCTGGCACAGAGTTAGCCGTCATCGATACCGTTAAGATCGATATTCCAGCGGACATTAATATGCAGACAGAAGAGAGAGAAAGAGAGAGAGAGAGAGAGAGAGAGCCCCCACGACGACACGCTATTCCACTTTTCTATTTCCCCATATCGTCGCTCCGTACGAGCAATCGAGGATCGTCTCTCCGAAGTGGACGCTCCGTTTTATAGATTTAACTACTGCGAATCATACATTTTTCATCCCCTGCGATAGCATAATACGATTGAATTTCATCCGAGGCGGTACGTTTGGTAGAGAAATTATGCTTACCCTTTACCCGGTGAGGATTAAACAATTTTTCCTTAATCAATGGATAATCGTATGTATAACTTAGTTTGTAATTTCGTAATTTTAAAATTAGATTGTAAGGAATATATATATATATATATATAAGAGTTAGGTATCGATTTTTTCGTAGCGATCGTACGGACTAGTGCAATATTATACTATCTCGAAGAGGATTCAGGAGTGAAGGGTTGAGCATGATCGTTCTAACTGCCATCGCGTCGAAGAGTATAATATATCGATCGAAGCTAATCTCATTTGTAGCATAGTTCGTATAGAGTGTGTTAAGAAACGAGTCGAAGATAGGTTTTTGAATCATCTTCCAGCAGGAGGAAGGAGAAAAAAGACGTTGAAAATAAAATTATTTTCAAAATGAAATCAAACATTTCGAACATTTTCAATGGAACCAACACGTATCACTTCCAAGATCCGTAACTTTGACTCAAGGAAAAATAAAACTTGACTGGGTACCGGCAAGGACGTTAAACATTGACCCTGCCGTTCATTGGTTTCTGGAAACGGCGGTCATTAAGCGACATTCCCATGCGCACCCTCTAATCGTTTCTAAGAAACGAAAACTCGTTACGCAGCTTTACTTTTCCTAATACATACATTTATCCATATCTTTATGTCGTTATCGCGTTTACGATTAATCTTTCAACCTTTCGAACGTTTAATTTCTTAGTTTCCTAGTTTCGAGGAGATGATAAAACAAATAAAATTTTCTACAAGCAAATTTTACTAATAATATGATTCGTCCGAAAATCTTGTAACTTATCGAATCACCTTTAATATCATTAACGTGTAAAAGGACGCCGTGTTCCGATATCGCTGCTCAAGTAATTTCTTTTGCCGTGAACTCGACGAATGGACACTCTTGAAAGCATTGAACTAGGAATCGTGGTAAGATAAATACACTTTAAAATAGAAACGTGGCCGAACGGTATTTAAATATTTTTCGAAACGATTCGGTTTTACCATTGACGCAATTAAAAAACGTGTGTTTAAAAAAAGAGAAGAGTAATGCATGTACGGAAAATGCAAACTCGAGGAAACGACATTTCTCGACAGATCAAATTGGTTCGATAAACAGTCGAATTAGATAGCTTTTACACGGAAATCATCGTACTCTTTACGAAACCTTGAGATTATACATATATACGTATATAAAGCTATTAGTCGCTTAGTAGAAAGATTTCTACGTAAAAAAAAAAAAAAAAAAAAAAACGTCGGTATATGATTCATCGAGTGGTATAGTTACTTCCTACCGTGGAATCTTTTCGTTCAAAAATATCGTACGCCTACGTTCGATATCACGAAGCCTTAAGATTCGAATCTTGATCGAGGAAGAATAATTTTTTTGAACAAACGATTCTTCCGCTATTTCTCATATTATTCTTTATAAAATATATTGTTCGTTCTTCGGACAAAATTTCGGACAAAAAAAATTGAGAAATTTAATTAATTCCTGATGTTTAAAAAAAATTTGTATAGCACGTTAAAAATCAAATCATCTTCTATCATTTTGCATAAATTAATTATCAGAAAGCGTTGCCTGTTTCGGCCTTCAAAATTATCTCAACGATTCAAAGATTTATTAATTTTGCAATTTCTCAGTTTTTAACTGGGATCGATCCATTATTCTCACTGTACTTTTCCAAAGTACAACTTTTATATCACTTTGCTAACTTCGAAATCTTCGAATCTTCATTCATATACATATGAGATAACACAATCGATTATCACTTTAAACTATAGATAATCGTTTTAACTCGATGTTAGGAAAGAAGGTGTACGACGATAAAAGACGCACGGGAAATCCCAGCCAAGTTCCGAGTCTTGATTAACACGCAGTAGAATCTTTCCACGTGTAATTATCACAATAATTTTCGACGGCAATCTTTCGATTTAAATTCCGTCTCGTTCTCAAAAATTCGATTTAACGATCAACGGCTTCATCGAGAAATTTTCCACCCTCGTATTTATGTTGACGCCGAAAATCAAGAATTTAATAACAGGATTAGATTAGACAGCAATCTAAGCTACTCGAAATAAAATGAAACATTTATTTGATCGTGGGATTCGGAGTTTGAATCCTCTCGATTGTTCGATAAGAAAATTAAATGGAAAATAGAGATATGAAATTCGATCCTCTCCCTCTTCAACGAATTAAAAAGATGAAAAGCGAAGGAAAAACGATATTGTCGTATATTTTGTAAATAAAGATCAAATTTAAGAAAAAGTTTAATCTTCGTTTTTCCCCCTCCTTCGAATCCTCCAAAAATCGTGGTGTTGCGAAATTGGACGAGAAATATTTGGAAGCAAACAAAAACAAGCTGTACCGAAGTTCATCCGCCTTCGATGATCGAAGCGAAACGAAACTGGTTGATGGATGCAATATCGCTGGATCATGGTTGATAGTCGGCCGACTGTTAACTTTCGATGACCGGCTACGGTAACGCGTTAAACCGTGTCCACAACCGTGTTCACACAATGGAAAGGTTGTCCGTGCTAATGAGATTCGTCCGTTCCACGCCAAGAGCTGTTTGGTACCTACGTGAACGCGCCGGGACATCCCAACACGATCGAGACGCTTACTATATAAAGGCCGCCCTCCAGATTTTCTCATCGTCACTTCGCACTCGAATCTCGAAGAAGTTGGTGCTAACTGGTCCAGCAAACTTGTTATTTCCATTCGATAAAGCGTCCAACCAAGATGAAGATCGCGCTAATCGTTGGCCTTGTCACGATGTTGGCTGGCGCCATCGCCTATCCTGCTGCTCTCCCTGCCGCAGAACAGGATGCTGTTCCCGAGGAACAAGGTATTTGAAGTAAACGTTTGCATCGAATGTACGAGTCGAATGAAAAATGAATGACAATTTTGTTTTTCTTTCTGCAAAAGTGCAAATTATTAAATATGTATTATTAATTAGAAAAGGTATCGAGATCGAATTGTTTGAGCAATAGCTGTCGTATTATTTGTATTTAATGACAGCTTCTCCTTTCCGTATCTGTAGTACATAGTTATATATTCTTGAACGTGAAACGATTAGCACGATTAATGAGAATATACTTGTCGATCTGACTCATCGTTTAGTAAATTCTCGCGACATTTTTTAACGGTCGGGTAAAAATTACTTTCGACCTTCATCCCGCTAAGGTCGTCGAAATCAAAATCCCACTCTTCTTTGGCCGATATTATTTATTCTCTTCCTTCCTTCCCCTCTCTTTTCTCTCTCTCTCTCTCTCTTACTTATTTACGTGAATTAAATAGCCTCGAGGCTTAAGAAACTTTCGAATATATCGAGGTTTAAAAGATGAGAAACGAGGAAACATTTTTTTATCTAATCTAGTAGCAGAGAGTCCAGCGTCGAGGCCAATTAGAGAGGCGAATCCTCACCGCCATTTCGGATTCGGTGGATTTCATGGTGGATTCGGTGGATTCGGTGGCTTTCCACCCCGCTTTCCCGTAGGCGGCTTCGGAGGTTCTCACAGTTCTGCCGGCGCTATCAGCTCCCCGTTCGGAAGCGCCGCTTTTGCCAGCTCAAGGGCCGGGTACGCATTCTTTCTCCTTGCACGTTTCCAATTTTGTTGGTTATTTCTTTCAAATTATTTCCACTTTATTTACAGAGGCTTTGGACGATGAGAAGCAGTTGCCTCCGCTTCTTGGATTCCGTCAATTTTCTTCAACAACGACAATAGCCCGTGTTGCTCAATTTTATACATGTATAGTTATTTTAATTATTTAAATAAACTTTTGTAACAAACGAGTGTCAAACGCCTCTCTTTTTTTAATGACGAAAAGCATTCTTAAGATCGTTTTTTTCGATCCCTTAATCGAATCGCGGCAATAAATTATTATTTTATCATCCACGTGTACGTGTAGATAAAAGATTAATTCGAAACGCGGCTCGTTGATCAAGCTCGTTGATCATTCATTCCATAGTCATTGAGCCGATCAAAGAAAATTTTTGCGCCGCGAGAACGTTTACTTGCTCAACGTAACTATTCCGAACGATTGGTCATATCGAATAACGGAGTTCGATTTTATCGGGATGTTTGCGAGGGATGTTTAGAAAACACGGCATAGCAGAAGTGTGTTTAACCGCACACGTTGGCCGCTATAAAATCGATCGCCCTGTCGTCACTTGTCATTACTCTATGCAACGCCTTGTCGTCTCACGATCGACGATCGATTGTCCTCCGTTTCACCGGGATAGAAAGTGATGAAAAAATGAAGTTTTCCACGACTACGTTGCTCTTAATCGTCCTACAAGTGAGTAAAGAAACTCTCTCTCTCTCTCTCTCTCTCTCTCTTCTTCAGTAACGAAATTCAACGATGAAAAATAACGATCGATAAATGTTGTAGGTGCATTATGGCTCGTTCGCCAAATTAGAATCTAAAGGTAAGAGAGGATTAACGTATTAACGGTGGTAAGGAAAGATGGGAGAAAAATTTTGTTCCCTTTTTTTTTTTTCTTCTTTTTCTTCTTTTTCACCTCTTCCTCTCATCGAAGAAAATCAAACGGAGATCGATCAACAAAGGAGCGCTAGGGTTCATCGGGTGTCCGACCGCGAGTTCGCCGGAAATGATGATTCTCAGTTGAAGAACGCCATAAAGGACATCGTGATCAAGCAGGCTGTTCTGTTGGGGAGCGAGGAGATGGAGAAATTTCTCACGGATTTTCCTAACTTGAGCAATCTCGTGCAACACGAGGCAAGTCTATACATCTTTTCTTCCTCTCCTTTGAAATTGGATACTTTTGAAGTTTTGAGAAAAGAAGCGAATCGTTGCAGCGATTGATTAAAAGTTAATCAATGTTCCCAGACCCAATTGTTCAAGGAATTAAACATGATCCTGATGGAGCTGGTTCGAGATGGAACCGTCACGTTGAAGAACATCGACCATACGATCAACGAGATGATGGGGATGAGCGTGTCACAGACTTCCGTCAAATCTGTAACAAAGAACGATAATCTAGGAAATCTTTCAAATTCGTTAGAACAGTTGGGTAGCCAAGAGAACGAGAATCGGGAGAATTCGAGTAATTATTAGAAAAAAAAAAAGAAAAAAAAAAAACGTAGAAGAAGAGAAATATTTTATCGTATTTTTTCCACATCTTTCTAATGGTTGCATCTTTTTCTTCTTATTCGAGGGCTTCCGGTCTCTCGGATCGAATCGATGAACGAACAGGAGCTGAGGAAGGTGAAGAACGTAGCGCAGACTCTGGACAATGTGATGATGGAGATCCAGAAACACGTGACTTTCGTTCGAAGCGTTTTTAACAGGCTTTGCAGGTGAGTGGCAATTTGACCGTGCGAAGGAATTGTGGAAATCGTGGCAATTTTAATACGTGATTAATACGATTTTACAGGAAGCATCATTCCGCATCGTCGAATCAATCGAATTCGAATGATATTGGAAAATTTGCGTCAATGAATCAGCCTAAGAAAGTATCGATATTTTAAAGATGTTAATATTCGTAAGGATAATCCAATTACTTTTATCATTTACGTAGTCATTGATTTTCTAAATTTCTAAAATAACAACTGTATTTGTAAATAGAAGAAAATAATTGCGATCGCCTTGATATCTCTTTGGAAAAAAAAAGAATAATTTTAAAACAATTCCAACGATGTTTTATAAAATCGAAGTGTCAATATTTTCAATAAAAGTTTTGAGAAAAATGATAGCTATCTTTTTTTTTCCTTATACGATTGACGTCGTGTTATCTTTTGCTTTATTCAAACTTGCCGCGTTGTTACCAATTTGTCTCCCTTGTTGCCAATCCAGCTAACACGTTTCTCGAATTTACATTCATACGATACTCGTTGTCTCGAATTATATTCTTAATTCAAGAAAATTATCATCGCCCGATTAATTATAATCCGATCGAATTCGAGGATAAGTTTGTGCGAGAGGAATCGAATCGCTATTTTACATGTAGAGAAAATCACTAATCGCCTTTCGTGTTAAAACCGTGGAGGAGCGAAACAACTATTCTGCTATCGTTCCCAGAAAGTTTGATCAATTCCGTTAGGTAACTGGTGGCAACTAGGAAGAAACCGTCTCGAAGTCGTTTCCTTCTCCTTGTGGGGTAAGTTTATTATTAATGCGATCGACATATAATTGCACCAAAAAAAAAAGGGGAAAAAGCCAAATAAATATAATCGAATTAAACTCAGAAGAAAATCTTATCTTTCATTTTCAATCGATCTCGAAGAGTAAGGCTCGAGTAAAATATATCGTGTCTTTCGTAACGGCACTTTGTGAAAATTTTTATAAATATCTTCGATAAAACGTATCGATGGATATTCGTTTAAAAATAAAAAAGAAAAATTACGTGCTATA